TGGTTCTTGTTATGGAACGACATACATGTTTGAATATGGATAAATTAACCAAACAATTTAACAAAAAAACATATAACTGATTATTTTTCAAATATATAATCATCTTGAATTTTATTGATTTTTTTTTCTTCGAAGAACCAGTTTATTACACCACCAAAAGCGGCTGCGAGAGACTAGGAACACAAGCTGACGAACAATTTGAAGGGGACATTTTTATTAATTTCAGTTTCTAATAAAACGGTAAAATGCATGTATATTGGGGTAAACATTAAAAGATTGGTCACATGATAGGTGAAAAGTGGTTGATGAGAACGAAAAATGCATGCAAGTAGAAAAAAGCATACACTCATGCGAAGGGAACAATCCATCTCTCTCTAAATGTCTATAAATCTAACACTATAGACCTATAATCCACCATCGTTTCAAAAGCATGGAGCAACATGATCTTAAAGATGGTAATGCCCACCCCCTTGCAAGTAAAAGGTTGGATCCATTTTTGTTCGGTTATTATATATATCTTGATTACTTTTATCATACCATGTATAATTCTCTGTAGCTATATAATAATAAAATTATTTGCTAAATTTCTTTTTAGTTAATTGGTTAATAGTTGATCATTTTATTAATATCTGTGGTAAATAAAAAAAAACTTAAATACCGTTTATGAATGTCTTATCTTTTAGATTTATTTATTTTTGAAAATGAATTAAGTGATTATTACAAATTTAAAGAAGGAATACTACATATTGATTTATATTTAGCTATGACTATTTCAACATCCAAACACACGCACTCCGAAATCCAAATATCTAAACAAATACTGGCTATTGTTAAATTATCTGTCACTTTATTCCTTAGTTTTATAGGTATCATCATGGATGGTTTTTGGTATGATAAATTAAATACAAAAACATATATGAAAGTACTCATTTCATTAGAATAAAAAAAAGTTGTTTGTTTCGTACAATGAAAAATTACATTTTGATTAAATTACATTTCATTAGTATGCAAATCTTATTCTGATTAAATTACATTTTGTTGATTAAAATGGTGTTTTTGCATATTCAAATTTGGAACAAAATGAAAAATT